GATAGATAGATAGATAGATAGATAGATAGATAGATAGATAGATAGATAGATAGATAGATAGATAGATAGATAGATAGATAGATAGATAGATAGATAGATAGATAGATAGATAGATAGATAGATAGATAGATAGATAGATAGATAGATAGATAGATAGATAGATAGATAGATAGATAGATAGATAGATAGATAGATAGATAGATAGATAGATAGATAGATAGATAGATAGATAGATAGATAGATAGATAGATAGATAGATAGATAGATAGATAGATAGATAGATAGATAGATAGATAGATAGATAGATAGATAGATAGATAGATAGATAGAACTATTGAATCCATTTTTAATTAAATTTACAAATGAAAATATATCCGAATGATTTATCCTAGTTGGTTATGTACATAAATGAACTATCTAATAGGACTATTCAGTTTATCATTAAATATGGATTAAACTAGTGTATAAGTGTATGTATTCATGTATCAATACGACTTCTTTACGGGACCAATTGAATCCATATCATCAGTCTTTGTATTCCCGTCAAGCGTCATCGAATTCGAGGTTTCACTACGAAACAAGTCGGTTAAACATTTACCAGACTCTACATCAGTATAAACTATTGGCAGTAACATGAAACGGATAAATGTCAAGCCTTGATTAAGTTAGTGGACTTGTATTTTTACAGTGGGTTGTGATGGACTCTAGTTGATGTGTTATTGAATAATTTTATTTTATTACCATTGAAAAACTATCAACAGATGGGTGTTTTGTAAACGGTATCTTCCCTGTCTTAAGTCCTTCTGGGGCCCTTTAAAAGTTACTGACCGTCTCAAGCTCAAGTGAAAGGTGGAAATTGGATTAGAGTTAGCGATCCTACCTCGTAAAAAATAACCTCGCTAACAAAACACTAACCAAATTAAACCAATTAATCCATGTTAACTCTGCCCTGAGTCAAAGAATCTTCATGTAGAAAAGTTATGGTACTTCATGATGAAAGCTAGGATTATTCAAAAACCAAAAGGCTGATTCCCCTTCTAACATCCAGTGCAACAAAGAAGTTAAGTATATGGAATGTATGGACAATGTGAGACAGTCTCTTTCTATTAATTTTATCAATGAGCTTTAGTAGATGATAGTTGATTCTTAGAGAGGTTCAATGTTGATCAATTCAACTAATTTGTTGATAGTAGATCACATTTACAAACAAATTATATTATGTTAGTGGTTAAACAAAAAAGCTATTAAAGTGCTAATACGAAACATTCTATCTACTTATTGGATAAATTAAAATCTGAACTGTACCATCTGTTTTAAGAATCTGGAACATATCATTCCTATTGTATTAATATAGTAAATCAAATCTTATATTGAACATTGAATAGAATTTGAAAATTCAAATGAAATCAGATTGTAAACTTAATAAATCATTTCTAGGTGTGAAGTATTATAATAACACAAACTATGTCCATCTGAACTCTGTCTAAGTTAGTTAAGTTCATCCTAAATGTTCACTGATTTCTTAATGCAAATGTACTATTCTACAGATTGATATAATTTATATATACCATATTACCACACAAAACAGTATTTCCTGTTCAAACAAGCAAAAATCAGTATATATATATATATATATATATATATATATATATATATATATGTATATATATACTCATTCAATGCTCAGTATTGTCGGAGATTATAACTTTAACTGACGAGAATATCAAAAAAGAAACTTCAGCAGAGGGTGGTGAAAGCTAGATGGTAGAAAGAAAGATAGATAGATAGATGCATAGGTTCTTTTGAAAAGGAACCTGTTATTCCACAACAAAAATAGAAGAATTTACCTTCCTAGAAAATTGCCGACAATCACCAAACAACCATTACTTGTAAAAACCCTTTTAAAAATCTATTAATAGAAAGTAGAATATGATGAATTCATTTTTCTCACTTAGTTTTTTCTGCTCATTTTCTCAGCTGTGCTCTTATATTAATGTCAGTGTTCTTTGTTTGTTGTATATAAGCTAAAACTTCTTATTTTTTGACAATCAAAAATGTATTGATACCAAAGAACTGTCAAATACCTACATATTCCTCTAATACTACTATTATCACTTACATCAGTAGTAATAGTGGTTGATGATGTTGCTGTTGGAATGCTAGGAAAAACAGATATAGAATGCTTAAAGAAATAGTCAAATTAAACATGGTTTTCTTTATTATAGACATTCAAATATTACTCTGTTTTATCTTTTTTTCTTTTCAAAAATATTCAGTAGATAACAGAAAACTATCCAATTTTCTGACAGTCAACCAATCCCAACATATTCGCATAGAAAATCATTAAACTTCTACACGTCTATATTTACCTGTTACATTCCTATGTTCATTTTTATTTCACATTCAGTGTCTATGCACTAAAAATAACTGTATTCATTATCTATTTAACAAGTTTTATTGACCAACAATCACTTATTCATTTTTTACACTGAAGACACACTGCACACAAGAAGGTGTTCTTTTTTTCTCTTCTGTCTTGTAGATCTATTTTTAAGAAGGTTTGTTATGATTACTAATCTTGTTGCTACTTATAATCAAAATGAAAATGAGATAGTATTCAAATATAGATTAGAAGATTGGAATAATGACAATTGGTTGACATTTGGAACATTTATCCTATTACTGTTATTGTTAGTGTCATCACTGTATTTTGTAGGTCAAGTACATACATACATACATGCATACACATACAAAATGTGATAAACAGATTAGTAACAAAATGTTTCAAGTAATGCAGACGATGAGACAAACCAATTGATTGTCCGTTAAATAACTTCACGTGACCGATAAAGTAATTATTAGTCCGACAGAAAAGGAGTAAATATTACTAATCATATGTAAGCTAATGAAACGAACCATGTTTAACATTAAAGAAAAAAAACGTATACGACAGTATGTAGCCTTGAAAAAGTGTGAAATTTAAGATATTAAATAAACGGAGTGATTTTGTAACAATTTCCATCATAAGCTAACATCATTTGAGAGAAACCACTGAAAACCACGAACGAATTAACAACTATTTCTTCTTAGATTCACTTGATGTTGTTTTACTTGTATCTTCCCATTGTTATTTAGGGCTACAATTGATCAGTCTCATGTCGGCATATGTACATCCTGTGCGGTTTGCCTCGATATAACCTTAAGTCACAAGCTTTTTAAGCAAAGATGAATAGTGGTTAGCAGTGGAGTTCAGGACGCGCGTTTCGTCCTACTTCGGACTCGTCAGCTGGATGTACCTGCATCCTAGAGTTGATGTTCACTCCGGGACTCGAACCCAGTGCCATTCGGTTCATACGCCATCGCGTTATCCACTTAACTACTCCTTAGTTTTGAATTGCTCAGTAATGAACACCTACAATATTTCATCAAGGAAACCTTCAGGACTCCTGATGAGTCCAATGACTAGTTATCTCTTATTTCTATAATAATTAACTCCAGCGATCAAGCTTACACTCTGGTAATTAAAGTTAACTAATTATGAAAGCTAGTCACTAATGGAATTAATTAATTTAGTTATATGAATGACTGTTTACGATTTGAAGGTAATATTCATCATCAAATAGTGTCAATGGGAGAATATTAGAAAAAAATTTCTACAAAACTATTCCATTCAACATAGTAATACAACGGGAACACAATGAGCTGAGTTTTGCACAGTACTATATACAACCACTGATATATAAAACTTTCAGTTATATTAATAAATTTTATGAACAATCGTTTGTTTCTAACTTTTAACTTGAAATTACATATCCTCTTTAAATTTCTTTATTTCGGTTCGTAATATGAATAAGAATATACATCTTTACCCGTATATCTATATATGGGATTACACTAAACACTGAAATATTATTTAATTCAATTATCGCCTAATAGAAGAAAACAAACAAGTAAACAGATAACCCATATAAACATTAACAGATCTGAGACAAATCTTTATCATTTCTAATATGTCATAGTTCACTTAGTAACAACAATGAGAAGGAATGAACAAATGGAGAGAGAGAAAAACATGCACTAAAATTAATAATCTAAATAACAACTATAAGTAAATAGATATAATTGATAAAATTCAACATCTCGAATATACTTATACAAAGTTGAAAATTTCAACAACAAAAATCAGAGATTTGCAAGTGTGTGTTTGTATGTTTGTTTGTTTTAAACGAAATCAAAACTTTACAATGTATATCACTATGCATATAGGATACCTTACATTGTATATGAATCATCGGAATTTCGGACTCGTTAGAGTGAAACATTCAAGTTATTCTATTCTCTATGATTATTTAGTATTATTGAATAGGGATAACTATTTAAAAAAAACACAACTAGATTTGAAATAATAATTGAGGATATTGTCTCTATAGTTAACTTAATTCATAACATGATTACACAATGTACATAGAAAATAACTCTAATTCAAATTATTCTTTAAACAAATAGAAAAGTATCAGAAGTGGTTTTGTGGAAATTTTAGTAATTTCAATTTTTGAGATCATGATTCAATTGAAGCTAGACCATCATGGAAAAGCTGGGAGCAATAGATGATCATTTCGTCCTATTGTGGGACTCCTCAGCAGTGCGCCAACGATTCTGTCCCATGGGATTCGAACCTGGGACCTGTCAGTCTTACGCGCGAGCACTTAACCACTAGACCACTGGGCCGGTCGGCACCCGACGGTGTTGATTTCTCACTTCAAGCAATCCACGAAATTGAGTGACACACCCACGATTGAAATTAATAAAATCTCCACAAAGCCCCTTCGGATACTAATCAACATATGCTCATTAGTAACTGGCTCAAAGAGGTATATCTCCTGGAGTTCTAGTGAGAAGCAGTGACCAGTGGAGTTCAACCGGGTCAGTTGTGAGATAGTAATTCACTGAAGACAATGGTGGATGTGTCGTTCAATTTTGTGGATTAGTTGAAGTTAGACACTAACACCGTTGGATGCCAATCGGCTCAGCGGTTTAATGGTTAAGCGTTCATGTGAGAGACCGATAGGTCCTAGGTTAGAATCCCGTGGGGCGGGGTCGTTGGTGTGCACTACTGAGGAACCCCACATTGGGATGAAATAGCCATCTATTGCTCCCAGGTTTTCCATGCTGGTCTAGCTTTAATTGACTCATGATCTCAACAGTTGAAATAGAAAAGTAGTTAAAAATTTTATGTAAGTTAGATAATTATCCAATTTAAACAAAATTATTTTGTGGAGAAAATAAACCGTGAAAATTCACACTTGAACATTGCTTTGAATTATTCAGAATTCATTGAAATAAAAGATATGTTTCAATGAATCTAAACAGATGAATTTATGAGTCAATATATTTTAGACTCTCGTTGAAATCCTGGAAGCACTGGACGGCCGTTTCGTTCCAATATGGGACTCCTCAGTGGTGCACACCCACGATCCAGCACGCGCTATTCAAATCCAGGACCTTTGATCTCGCATATAAACTACCAAAGTGGCATCTGACGGTGGATTTAAATAACACAAGTCCTATTGAATTATGAATAGCAATAGAATTTATCTGATATTTATTTTAACTTGATGAGACGTAATTCAAAGAGAGTAACGTTATTGTATTCTACTTTATATTACTGGTCAAGTTAAGGAATCATTAGAAGTTACAAAGCACTTAAATACTATTTTGTCTTAGTCTAGGACTCTTCAAAAGTGTGCATCCATATCCTACACTGGAGGTCGAACTTAGAACCTTCAATAGTTTATATTTCTAATTTTAATTAAATCTCAAGAATTCGAGATAATCCAACACCATATGTAGTTTACTACTTCATATCTGACATAATTGAAGTTCACTGGCAATTGCATTTCAGTTTTATCGAAATTTTAAATTCACCTAGTTGACAAGTGACAATGAGCATGAAAATTAAATTTACAAATTCTTACTGTTAACCTGTCGATGAACTCATAATAGTTACGGAACAAGAGGAAATATCAACAACTACGATATATCTAAATAATAACTAGAGAATATTTACAAAATATTTTTTGATTTTGCCGCCAATTTATTTTCCGCTCTTTATTTGAATATTTCTTTTGTACTATGGTAAATTAGAATGATGGGAAAACAAATAAATAAAATGAAATGAGCATTTCCCATTATTTTATTATGAAAGTGTATATGTATGATGATGTATTTGCGTGTTAATAGATATTTATCACTGTAGTAACAGTACTATTTCTATTACTATTGCCAATACTACTACTACTACTACTACTACTACTACTACTACTACTACTACTACTACTGAGTTATCTTCCTGTTTATTGACATAAATCTCAATAATTTTAAACTTTAATCTAGATTGGTTGGTCAATGATAAAATGTAAAGTTTCTCAAGAATATATTACTGAATACATATATATTACTTTCAACAATGAGTATAATAATAATAATAACAGTAATATTAATAATCACATCTGTATTAATAACTGTTATACTCAACCAAAGTTGAGTTCAGTAGAAAAGAAAATATTTATCATTGACTAACTACAATAATTTTTTTCCCTTTTCGTTATGTATTTTTACGGTTGCAATATTTATTTATTTATCTATTTGTGTACTTAAATACACTTGTATACAGAATCAAAGTGAAAATCAGAGTGAGAGAGGGGAGAGGGGGAAGAGACAAAGAGAGTAAGTAAGAGATGGCGTGTTATCTAGTTAGTTGGTTAGTTAGTAAAAAATATAAAAAAAAGACAAAAAAAAAACAAAAATAAATCCATGAAATATAAGTATGTGTAGTTTATTTTTTTATTGAGGTTGTAGTACTTCAAAAAACGTGGGATAAACAAATAAACATTACATTTTCACTTTGAAATGGGGTTTTCTTTCCACCAATTTATCTTTCGTTTAAATCTCGTGTAAAATAAATATTAACATTTATTAACCATAACAATACTAAGGAGAAAAAGAACCCGAGGGAAAACAAGAGTTTTTATTAGTCATTAGTTCTTGTTCAAAACAACTTAAACTTATCTACATGTTTGATATATGTGATATTTTGGATGATGAACATCAAAATGATGTATTCATAGTAGGTATTGCTAGATATATTAGCCAATAAACATTTGGTGGTTCAATGGTGAAGATAAAAAAAAAAGTATGCCGAAGATAAATTCAAATGGAGAATAATTGTAATAATATTGAAATGTGTAAAACTTATACTCAATTATCGTTTCTATGTTGACGACATATAGAGGTTAGAACACTTGATCTTTGACAAATCATTGTGGATGCTCGTTTTGTTTATACAACAACAACAACGACAACAACAAAAAACAAGCTTCTTTGACAATTTTACGTGTCCATAAATAGAGTGGATCAGTATCAGCCATTTATATAAGTTGAATAACAATGCAAAACGATACTGACTGCATCAGAAATAAATATTTTTAAAAATCTGACAATGCAAAACTTGAATACATGAATCTTGGAAGTAAATTCAATGTGTCGCGTGGCAATTCGGTTCAAGCTTTTTCAAGGATATATATATATATATATATATATATATATATATATATATATATATATATATATTTCTCTTAGGTTTAAAAATCATCCCTCAATGAACATTAAGTTTCATTTACATATCTCTCAAGTCAAAATCCTATTCCAACATTTGACTATTTGATATTAATTGAATAACTGTATTGAAATTCACATTTCCATCTATCCAATTGAGAATTTCTCATCAATACTTACATTCTTTGGCTGCAGCTAAACACTTTTACACTTAAATTAGAATTTATAAAAGGATTAACCAATATTCAATGTTATTGATGAGTCATTGGTCATTACCTTCCAATCAACCAACCATTTTTGAAATTCTTACATCCTTCTCTTAGTTTTACAATACATAACTTGAAGTAAATCATTAATTATTCTTAAATTCTGGTCATTTAATCAAATAAGTCATGGAGTAACTAGGTATTACGTCTTCTACTTGATTACGGTAGAATGCAATAAACAACTAACGGCACTACAGTCCCAAATCAGAAGACGGAAGAAGCGGAGGAAGTGATTGATATGGAAAAAAATCAAAAATATACGAAAAAACATGGGTATTTATGGTTATTAGCATTGGTTATAACATCATTATAATTTAGCCAATCCATAAGGAGGCGAGTTATGCGGTGGTCCAATCGTAGCATGCCACGTTGATATTCTGGAAAGCTCGATCAAGTGCTAACTCAGTGGAATCTCTCCGTCTTCTTTAGAGCCTATAAGAGCTCCGTCGTGCTTCTCAAAGCCATCCTAAAACTAATATCTTTTTATTATCACTGACTGATATCAGATGAAAAACGATTTGAATCAAGACAATAGGATGAAATTGATTTTATTCTATGTGTGCATAATTCAATTTTTTGATCTTAAGTGATTTATTAGATGTAGCTAATGGGTATTAATACTAAATTAACCATGAAAATTGAAAGTTCTATATTTAGGTCTTTATTTTATTACGGTTAATTAATATTGTAGGAATAGTTGATCATACCAATGAAAACTATCATTCCAATATTAGTTACTTCGACTATAGTTAACATTATCTCACTATTTTATAAAGCGATCGTATTTGGTGGTTAACAATTTGATAAATGAAAATTCCACATGAATAGACAATAGTTTCTGTTATCAACCCAAATAGGCAAAATACTTAATGTTCATAATTTATTAAACTTTTTTATGATCACGTATACATAATATTCTACTGATGTAGGTAGATTTCACTCCTGTCCATATAGTCTAGTGGTAATATTTTAGCGAAGTTTTGTTCTCTGAGATGGATGGTCTGGTCGTGGAGCTTTCATCGTTTTTCTGAACGACTTCAGCAGCACAAACTTCAAGTAGAAGTGAAGTGTTCGAATTTCTTCAAATATGACTCTCAACTTGTTCTATAGACTTCGATCTTCATTGGTTATTGTTGACTTTTAACTCGTCATTATTTAATTCTTTATTTTGATTGTATCTCCCATTGATTTGATTCATGGTCCCATATTATTATGGACAGTTATAATAGACAAATATAGAACCAATAATCAAATCAATGGGAGATACAATCAAAATAAAGAATTAAATAACGACAGGTTAAAGACCAATGAAGATTGAAATCTATAGAATAAGCTGAGAGTCATTTGTGAAGAAATTCGAACACTTCACTTCTACTTGAAGTTCGTGCTGATGATGTTGTTCAGAAAAACGATGAAAGCTTCACGACCAGACCATCCATCTCAGAGAACAAAACTCCACTGAAATCATTCACATGAGCTACAAATCTTCTCCATCATCAGTGGTAATATCTTACATAATAGAGCTGTGTGATGTGGGTTTGGTTGTTATAAGGAGTATCAGGTAAATCAAGATTGCAAGTATAATGTGTTGAAGAGGCCTAGACTGTAAAAAAACTTAGATTCATAGTTTCTTGTTAATTGTCTTCAGCTACCTATAACAATCTTGATCATAAATTGATACTATATCAAGAATTACCAATAACCAATCTACTGACTAAAACAAACTTATCTATTCTTCAACTGAAGTTCATTCTATGATACTAAATTATTTTTTACTTGTTATGATCTATATATACACTGATCATATAAAAACAAAAATCATTTTTATAGTTTCTAACGAAAAACTCAGATTATCCGCCATGTTAGTCATTTTAACTTAATTGTTATTCTCATAACCCTCTGTTCCACTATCTCGTAACCATATTTTATACATGATATCTTCAAGTTTTTTCTTCAAAGTGATTATTAAACATACAAATACAACATACAAAATGAAAGAACAAATTTACTTGTATTTCATCTTCAAAGAAGATAACTTTTTTTAAAATAAAAATAAAAATAAAAGAGAAATAACTCGACAAACTCCCCCCCCCTCACAAAAAAAAGAAAAAAAACGAAAAGAAAATTAGTCAAATGACAAATTTATAAATCATCTTTTGTCACTGATATTTTTTTCTTTGTATATTTGTTTCACTTTCGCACTATATTCACTCACTCATTCTCTCTCTCTCCCCTTCTCTCTATCTCTCTTTTCTGTTTATCATCATACTTACCTATATATTTATACA